AAAACTGTGTAACATTATGGAATAAAATGTAGACCAATGAAGAGGTAATAATGACTGTCAAGCTTTGGGGTGTTGATCGAGTTTATCTATGTTTTGATTATCATTCTGAATCCAATTCATAGTATTTTTTTCAGCTTTTTGTTCAAAATTTTGATTATTTCTTTATTTTTTATTTATGAAACTTATCCACATTCAAGTGTTTAAAAAAAGAATGCATGAAGCTAGAATAAAATGTTTTTGTTTACAAGCAGATACCCTGTTCTTTTGATCTTTTGTATGTTCAGATATTCATGTAACAAAATATATACAAATTAATATCTAAGTAGGGACATAGTAGTATACTTAAAGTATGATGTAAAGTTCACTTAAAGAAAACTTACGAGTATACTTGCAGTATAAAACAACTAAACTAGTAGTTTACTGAGACTATACTTCAAAGTGTACTAAAAATGCTACTACAAGTATTTAATTAGTAAACTATCAGTATACCTATAACTTCACTTTTAGTGTAGTTGCAGTACAAACTAAACATTTTGATGTAAACTAGTTGTGTACGCAAAGTTTACTACTGTTATACTTAAAGTATACTTAAAAGTATACTTTTATATACTAGAAAGTGGGCCAATTTAGTCCCAAGGAGTATTGAAATAGTACACTTACAAGTATACTACTAGTACACTGACATTTTTTTATACTTACTACATAAAGTATACTTAAAAATATACTTGAACTTTACTTAAGTATACTTGCTCAAATAAACTTGAGGTATACTACTTTTTGGTAAGGGCAAGCAAACACAACAATCCGAATTGAAACACAAAAAGACAGAAATAAAAAGTTTTAAGATGAGATTTAAAAATACCTAACAAATTTGCTTCCCTGATGTCAGCTGGGAGAGAATTCCAAAATTTGGGGGCGTAAGATGAAAATGAGTTCACTTATATGACTAACTTATAGTTGTGTCTACATATTCAGCTGGGATATTTTAACATTGACTAAATGATACACCTTACTGTATATTTAAGTGATAAGTGATAAATATATATATAAATATATATATGTATCGGTAGCCAATGAGCTCGCTGCTCAATATTCAAAAACCTGGCTTTTGTTTGCTATAGCGGTTGGCAGCGCACTTCAGAGCAACCTAAATCAACATCTAAGATAAATGAATGCTCTTTTAATCCATATCGCTGTGTATATTTGCGTGGTCTGCCTAATTGAATACAAAATGAGCAACCGTAAACAATTTTGAACTAAGTGTCATGTTAGCAGTTTGCATTGTATGCAGCAGCGAAATATTAAGCATATTAGCAGTAGAATTTAGCACGTTTATATAGCTGGAGGAAAAGGCTGTTTAAAGCTTGTAATCGCTCTGAGGACACATTAATAGTAATGAACATGAAAACAGGTTAAATGAAATAAGCATTTCAACTGGGGTTCTCCATATACATCGGCGATTATCCCAGTGTTCACGTTCGTTATTTCTAAGGTCGATGTTTTCATTGTGATGAGTGCGTGGTTGATTTCAGTTGCACGCAGCATCAGAAGCACGCGCTTATCACAGTCATATCAACGATAGTGTTGCGGGAGAAGGGAATTAAGAGTTATCGCTATGGTTGTTGCAGTTCCGAGTGAAATGCATTATGGGTAGTGTAGTTCGGAGAAATGTGCTCATGTGACGTGTGCTATCGTGTGTTGTGTAATTCAGAAAACGGAGAAAGAACGTTTATATTCTGCTTTATTTGTTCATTCAAGTCAGTCCACCCAGGAGTTTGTGCACTGTAACCCTGATAACTTTATCTACATGAGAGAGTAAATGGCATGTATTGGCTAACTTGTCTGTCTCATCATTGCACAAACATGAATTAACAAGCTGTTATGCTGCTGCTGAGACTGATGAAGTGCAGAAAGTAACAGCAGATATTAAATGACTAAATTATGTTACTTGCTCAGGTGGATTCTGGGGTCTTATCTATCGGATTGCAATGTATATCCATTTTGTTAATGAACATTACACACAGTGCGCGTCTAATTAGATTTAAGCCAGTCGGCGAGGCAGCCCAGGCACACATAGTCATAGGCCATTATTGTTAACCATTCATAGGGGCATTCACTATAAACATAATTTATTTTAAACCTTAGGCATACACGACTTTCTAGTGAAAGTGAATCTAGCAACTTGAGTGAAATGCGCTAGGCTGTACTACTTGTCCCTCTCATTCTGCACCAGTACAAATACGTGCGCGTGTTGCGCATGTTTTGCTTGCTTGAGTGTTTCTGCATTATATGAGTGGCTTTGGAATATAAATCACAGCACGTTTCAGATGAAAAAAACGCGACTTCTATTTCTGAAAATATCACAGTTAGGAGATTTATAACGAGTGGTTCCCTGCGTTATTACAGCAAAGCGCGTGATTACAGTATTAAGCTGCTGCAATGGAGCAGCTCTAATGCTATTATGCAGACACATTATCCCTCTCTTCAACATCTCCACTTCTAAGCTTCTCACAGAAAATGGAGGAACTGGTTTATGCTGGGACCAGACTCTCCCACTCTTTTGCTGCAAGCCCCCAGATATCAACTAAAAAACGGCGGGCCCCACAACCACCAAAGCCTGTGGGCCCAGCTCGTCTTCCTCCTCCTGTGAGAGCTCTCCGGCCGCTGCCACAACGCCAGGGCCCAAACCCTCCATCTGCTGAGGTGAACCAAAAACAACTGATAACAGCTCCCAGTGATATGTGTCGGGTCCCCGCTATAATAGCAGCAACATTCACAAATGTTTACAGAACAAGCGGGAACCCAGTGTGCCTGTAGTTTTTTCTATTTCTGTTTTATCATGTGATAGAAAGTCTAAGGCCTTCTTAAGCCGCACGGCTGATTTATCTAATCTGCGGCCTGTTATGCATCAAACTAATATTGCTGTTGAGACAAAATGCAATGCCATCAAGTTAGCATTT